GGCGGGACTGCAGCCACAGCAGCGCTGCACACAGCTTGTGGCACCGGAGCGGCTAAAGATGCTCCCGCCGGTGTCACAGAGCTTCCCAGGACAAGAAACTTCCCGAAGCATTTCCAGCAAAGCAAGTTTGGCCAAACTTCCCTCCTCACCCCACCAGCTCTACCCAGGAGCTCGGTGTCGTGGTGGTCCCCATGTGCTGCCCAAGCCACCAGAGCCCAGGCCAGTCAGGGGCTGCGGGCGGGGGGAAGCGGCATCCCGCCAGACGAGCCTGGCGAGGAGGAGGAGGAGGAGTGGTGGGACCCGGGCAGGCTGGTTTGGGCACAGAGGCTGGGCAGTCGAGGGATGGGATCACATGCCAAGTGCTGGGGCCATGCAGTCCTGTGCAAACCCAGCACACAGACACATGCAAACCTTTCCCCAACAGCTCCCAGAGCTTCTTCCAGCTTCTGCAGCCACCCTCCACACCTCCCACCCCTCCTGCTTCTCCCCACAGCCAGCTCCGACGCAGACCCACAACGTCTCCTGCGGCAGGAGATGTCAGGGACAGACGGGCACATCTGGGTGTCCTGGCAGCATTCCTCATGGAGCACAAAGCAACACCCCAGGCAAACTTTGGATGAAAAGGGGGTGGCAGGAGCAGGGGAGGGATGGGAGCCACGGCAAAAGACCTGTGGCACAAGGGGTCCTCCCACCCCCCGCCTCAAAGCCAGCTCCCATGCTGAGCCCCGGGAAGCAGGGCAGCCTCTGGGAAAACCCATCCCTGCCTGCAGCTGCCAGCTCACAGCCCCAGGAGCTTTAAGCCCCCCCCCCCGGTCCCAGCCCCCTCCTCCTCTTCCACCACGCTGCCTGCCAACAACAAAACTGACAACAAAAACCCCGCTGCCCTCCAGACCAGCATCCCCCAGTGCCTGGCAACCGTCATTCAGAGGGACACAAAGGGGGCTGCAGCCCCAGCCGCTGTGCTTTCTGCCGGGGATGGGGTGCCCCAGCAGGTGGCCAGGCCACGGACCACCGGCCCCGCTCCAGGCCAGCCGATGGCAGAGGACAGTGGCATCTGGAGAAGAGCGGACCCTGCTCCCCCAGGCGATCGAAGGGCTCTCATGGAGGTGGCTGCAGCCCACCCCGTCCCCACGCTGCCCCACGAGGGACATGGGTGACAGCAGGGGCTCCCGTGGCCCCTCTGCGTGACACCTGACCTGCGCTGCCTGGAAAGCGCTGGACAGAGGGGCTGCCCTCGCCCTTACCCGTGCCTGTGGCCCCTGCCCTTCCCTCTATCTCTTCCCAGCCCCCAAAGGATGGAAAACAAGCACCCCGCTGCCATGGTGACAGCCATCAGCCCCCCTGCCCACCCACCTCGCCCTCAAGCTGTGCCGGCAGCAGGGATAAGGGGGAGGGCCAAGGGCAGTGCAGGCAGGAGCAGGCAGGATGCTGCCAGGCCCTTTCTGGGTAACCGGAGCTCCTGCAGCTGAGGGGCCCCACAACGCTGGGCTCAGGTAACAGGAGCCCAGCCCGGGCCTCCTGGGAAAGCAGGTGCCTTGCTGTCACCAGAGTGTTTGTTGTCACCACCGGTCCCACGGAGCCAGCTCGGGGCTGGCTGTGGAGCAAAGGTGTCCCCGGGCGTGGGCTGGGAGCGGGGAGAGGCCGAGGCGTGCTCCGAACTCGGTCTCCTCCTGCACAGCCTAGGAAGAGGCAGCATCGCTGTCTGCAGCCAGGCAAGAGAGGGGTTGGCTCAAGCCTCAGCATGCGGTGCATTTTTTAGACAAGGGCCAGTTTTCGTGCCTGACCCAGTCACGATCCGGCGCTCCAGCCCTCCCCATCCCATCCTGTGGGAGGATTTTCGTGTGTTGCTGCCAGAGGCTTTTGGGGCTGGGCTCAGCCCAAGCTGCCTGCCAGCTGCCAGCCCTTCCTCTCCTCCCCAGCTTCCCCATCCTCAAGGGATGCTCCTGTTGTCTTCACCAGCATGCTTGCAGGCATCCATCAAGGTCTGCCACTGCTTCACTTTAAATATCCTGTAAGGAGGAGAATATCCCCCTCCCACGCCGCAGCCCTTCCCCAGCACAGCTTTGCTCCAAATCCCAGCCAGCCCAGCACTGCCAATTAGCAGCTTCACCAAAATCCCCTCCCCAGGCTCAACCTTCAAGCGACCCGCATGGGCTGAGGCAGTGGTGTGGCAGCGCCCAGGTGGCCGAGGCCTCTGGCACAGGGCGTCCCAGTGTCACTGGCCCCAGTCCGGCAGAGCAGGGAGGACAGGAAAGTCAGGGCCGCTGCCACAACCCCGCAACCCGGGCACAGGCAGGTGGGTGCTCAGCCATCCCCATGCTCAAGTAGGTAGCGTTGGGCGAGGTCCCGGCAACCAGAGGCCACAGGGATGGCTGGCATGCTGGGAGGCTCCGGCCTGGGGAGCTTCTCCCACCCTCTGCCCGGGTGGGGATCCCTCCCACTGCCAAGCTGGGCCAGTGGCTCTGTCTCCCCTGCGAGCTGAGCATCTGTATCTCCTCTGCCTCCTTCTCTGGCCATCCCTGGAGCTGCTGCACAAGGAGGGGACTCTGCGCGGCTGCGGGACCTCCCCAGCCCCACAACATCCCCTCCCACTGCCCAGGGCTGGAGGGAGAGCTCTGTGCTTCCCCACTGCCCCGGGAGCGTGATTAATGCGGTCTGACAGCAGCAGCCCTCGGCTGGGGCCCAGCGGGGATGGGGGATCCGGGGGCCCGCCCTGCCAGCCTCACTGCTGCCCATGCCAGTCCCAGTCCACAGGCTGGGGCCACGAGGCCCCCCCAGGACACCACAACCACCCCCCAGGTCAGTGCCCGGCCGTGGGACTTACCAATGTACTCCGGGTCCACCCGTGGTGAGTAGAGCCCAAACTTGATGAAGATGGGGAGGACGAAGCCGAAGCGGACCCACTCGATCACATAGAGAGGTGGACGGGCCTCGTGGGCGTCCAGGAGGTCGCAGCCCAGCACCGTGCTCTCCCCAACACGTCCCACCACGGCCTGGGACTCGCTCTGCCCGCTGCCT